TGTGTGTGTGTGTGTGTGTGTGTGTGTGTCTGAGAGAGAGAGAGACAGAAAGAGGAGAGAGAAAATGTTTATACCATCTTTTTAAGTAAAATTATTGGAGAGCAATGACTTTCTTCATAAATTAGACACAATAACAAAGCCTTATTGTTGAAATTGCTTTTATGCAAGTGTAACCAAGTACTCAAATCAAAAACGTCTTTATCCTTGAAACTGACCTTATCCTAGTCATGGATTGCTGGCATTTAATATTCAAGCTTCCTAATTCATTTCTGAAAGGCTGTCGCAGGAGAATTGCATGTAGAATATATAATGATTTATTTAGTCCCACAGTCCCTTATACGTGGGAACCAAAGAAAAGAGAAAGAAGACAAGCTGACTCTCTCATATTAATGGAAATTATCGCCTACAAATTAATTTAAGCAACTGATAGTACAAAATTAAAAACAGTAATATAAGAATCTGGTTTTTAAAAGTGCTTCTGCTATTCATGCCATCCATTCATATTTGAAACATCTGTATTGTAAGTGTGTCAAGGTAAGATATTTTAGCCTTGTGCTGTTTCCATGAAATCAGATCCCCCCTAATCGGAGTACTAAACTAATTAGAGTTCATTCATCTCCACAGTGCATTTCCGTGAGTTTATCTCAGGAAACAAACATTCACAAACCCAGACGACTGTTGTGAAATAAAATGATGATGATGGCACAAGGCTTGTTGATCATTTTCTCCTGTGTTAAGTCTAATAAAACAAAACCAAAAAATAAGCTGCATCAGCACATTTAAATGTTTGAAAAAAAAATTCAGCCAGACAACTGGTTATCTTTAACAAGAAAGGAAAAAAGAAAGATTTAATTCAAGTAGGTTATTAGCTAAATTCTACTTCATTTTCCCCAGTGTTTGTGGTTAAAGAGGCCACGTACAGGATGTGCCCTCTGGTATGGGTAGTATAAACAAGCTGATGGAAGAAGGTCAGCCATATGCCCTTGTTTCTGAATACAGACTTCGTGCCTTGGAATTCCTTTCTGAACTTCCAGGGGTTACATGTAAGCCAGTTAACTTTGCAGCAGTGTCCATCGGAAGCTGCAGTTGCAAAGAGCCAGGCCTATCTTTAATACGGTGTGAGAAGACTGTGGCTTCAAAAAGATAAGAAGCCACTTGACAATTCCATTGGGATGTCTAATAGTTGTCTCAGACTCAACCAGTTCCAAACTCATCTCCTGTCGTGGCTTCCCTACTTTCACTGCTCAGGCTGAGTCATCCTTGACTCCTCTCTCTCTCACAGCCCATTTCCAGGGTTCAGAGAATCCTGCAGGCTCTGCCTTTAAACTGTATTCAGAACCCAACAACTTCATCATCACCACTGGAGTCCAAGCCACTCCATGTCTTGCCTGGATAATTGTAGTAGCTGCCTAACTAGTGTCCATGTTCCCTCTGGTGTCTCTACAGTTTTGTCGCAACACAGCAGCCAGGAGGATCTCTTTTAACTTTCAGATTCCCTACATGAACGTCTCTGAAGACTTTTATCGCTGAGTAAAATCCGAAGTCTGCCTTATGACCTATCAGGTTCTACTTGACCTGATTTACAGGTTACTCTGCTCCCCTTTGTTCATTTCTCCTCCAACACACCAGACACACCCATGCCCCAGGGCTTTTGCACTTGTTTGTTTCTCATCTTGAGAACACTACCACCCCCTCACCCCAGATATCCACACAGCTAGCTCTCTCACCTCCTTCCAACCTTTTACTTAAATATCACCTTTCCTGGCCACTACATCTAAAGGCACAATCATTCTGAATGTTCATTATTCTCTTCCCTAGTTTTCTTTGTGTCTGCAGCATTTATCACCACCTAAGTCATGCCTTATTTTATTTATTTATTTACTTTTTATCATCTACCTCCTCAACTAGAATATAAGCTCTCTGAGGACAGAGTTTTTTAGATTACTAAACCCCTTGTGCTTAGACGAGTATCTGACACATAGCAGGTGATAAATATGTGTTGAATAAATAAAGGTACCCATGCAACTATATTTAGTAGTATTTTGTGTTAGGTGTTTTTAAAACATGCTACCATATTGTGTATATAACTCTTTCCATACCCAACAATTTGGCCTAGAACTCTTTACACATTAAAACGTTGCTCAACCTCATTTGACGGAATTGTGGTATGTCTCGTATGGATATAGCTCAGGTTTTAAGGGGTTTCCAATTTTTAATATAGACAATGTAACATGCATGTTTTATGCCTGCCTCCTGGGGCATATGAGAGTGTATTTCTGTAGGCTGAGCAGATCTGTGTTTTTTCACCTTTGCAAAACTGGAACTATGTTTCTGGGAATTCTCTCTTACATAGTCCCTACATAGTGTGGGCTCTAGGAGGATTTTTCATGGGATTTGGAAGGTGGAAGTTAGCAGGCACCATATTGTTTTTATCCTGGAAGGTCGGTGATGCCTCAGCTCATGTATCCTATGGCTTTCTACTGGCTCCTGTCACTGCACTAGGGTAGAAGCTGGGTCAAGCTAGGCCAGCCCAGTGAGGTCTCCTGCTTCAGCTTCTCTGTCTCCTGGGCAAGGTGCATGTTTAGTCCATGGGGGCATGGGTAGGCTCCTCCTGTAGGATGCCCTGATCAACCAAGTGAGAAGTTCGGTGGTGCTGAGAGTCTAACGCAGATTCTCATCCTTCCTGGTGGCTTCAGCCTCAGTCTCCAAGATTCCAGTTCATTATTCCTTCCCCCACATTACTTCCATTTTCCCTTCCTGACCACCGGCCCTGTGGATTTCAAGCTCCTGCACCAGACACAGAAACAACGGCCACATATCGACTATGCAGCCAGCTCCCACAAAAGCATAAGGTCCAACCCCAAATATATGTATTTATATCCTGGTGGTCTGCTTCTCTGATAACACGCTGACTGGTGCAGGTAGATATCAAGAAACAAATTTGCGGGGCCATAGGATTTGTACATTTTTTCATCTTAATAGATTACAAGTTTGATCTCTCATCTATGAAACACTGGAAGCATTTCCCTGCCAGGGATCTATGAATTATGAATCAGTTTCATTTGTTTGCACCTTAGCAATCTGAGTAGACAGTGTGTTTTCATGTTGCAGGGGTGCCTATGGAGGAAGCCAGGGAAGGGAAACAAGACCAAATATGAGACCAAATGATGTCTAGTCCTCCTCTGCACAGCTGGCTTAACAGGACCACTGTGAATCAATTTACATTTTAAATGCTCCTTTTGTAATGCCAGAAATCAAAAACACAATTTCAATAAAACAAAAGCTTAGATTTTTTTTTGTCGACTGTCACTGAAGGTTTGCTGTTCGTGAGCGAAAGCGATTTTCCTCAGTGTGTGCATTCTTACTCTTGGCAGATGTGAGACAGATGTTTTTACTATAGACACGTGGGGACTTGCAGGAAAAACACCCTTCTAATTACTCAAGGCAGCCAAAAACTGTGTTTTATAACTTAGTGATGGAATTGCAAACATGGATCACGGCTTAGCACATTCATATTAAGATGCCGTAAGAGTTTGTTGTTCCTTTGATCACGTCTGTGTTCTGAGAGTAAGTTCCTTCGACGTCTGTCCTCTGGGAGGCCTGGGGAGATGTTTTCATCTCCTGCCCCTTTGTTGTTACTGACTGAAATGAGTTTTGGAAGACAGAGTCCTCATTAGATTGCCCAGTACCCCTCTAATCTAAAGAGTTTCTACTAAGCAGTCATCCCTACAGGTGTCAATAAAAAAGGCCATTTAGAAAACAGGAAGGAGCTTTCCTCTTTGTAAGAATGTGTGGGTGGAGCAGGGCCTGCCTGCCTCCAACGCTGAGCATCACAGGCTGCCAAGGGCAGATCAAGCTTCAAGATACAAAGTGACTGCGGCTGACCCAGAGAGTCCCAGAAGTGGGTTCCCATGTGCCTTTGACAGAATCAACATTCCTAGATGGCATTAGGCTCACCAACTGGGAAAAGCAAATTCATGCGTGATTTATATTTTGTTCTGCAAAAACTAGTCAAGCTCAGACACTAAGCCAAAGATTAACAGTTACCTCTTTCTCGAAAGCCGAGCTTTCTTCAGCAAAGACTTGCAATGACCCTGTGGGTCTCTGGGAAGCTCTGCCTCTTAAACCTGCTGGCAGCCGAGGGCCTGGCACAGCTGGGAAAGAGAGCAGTTGCAGCTGCTCCACAGTGGGATGCTCCACTGAACAGTCCTGCTCGTATTCCAGAGGCGTCTATTAAGTACTCCCAAGTCACTCTCCAGGGAGTCTTCAAACACGGGCCAGCCTTCTCAGGTGAAGGCTGGGATGCGTTCAAGCTTTGCAACCGCTTTACTGATAAGGTATAAAATCCGAACAGAGTGGTGAAGAAGAGGAAGAGAAACTGCCCTGCTCTGGTCTCTAATAAGCAAGTTCCTGGGAATAGGTGTTTTCACTTCTTGAAAATTCTTTTTTATTTTTAAAACGCCACTAAGGTTCACTACAGTTGAGAAGTGCCCCTTTTCAGAGCATTTCTGGCCTAGGGTTCTGCTTGGTCCTCTCGTCATATAGATTTTCTGGGAGTGGGGCACATTCAGCAGGGTCATTCCTGGTTGGCCTAGAGCGCTCTGTGCCTTTGCAGACCTTACGGTTTAGTTTTCTGACTCGTGAGGAGAAAACAACATACCTCCTAGTCCTGACTCTGATGTCCTTTCCTCTCCTCTTCATAGCACAAAGGGTCGCCCTCCTGGGAAGTGGCATTTAGGCATCTGGGAGGAGTTCTATGGGAAGGTATGGCGTATGTCTTTCATAAGTAACTATGGGTCCAGGGTAGGCACTTGGCACAACCGTAACCTCAAATACCATCTGACAGCAAACAGCTCAAGCTCACTCACCTCCTCTGTCTACGGGAGAGTACCTTCAACCTGGCAGGCATTCCCTGATGCGCAGAGTTCCACACCCACCTTCCCCAGCCTAGCTTCTCCTCTTGGTATCCTGCATAGGGAGGTAAAGCACAAAATGAGTCCACCTTGCTGACTCAGTGCAAAGGGTTCCTTGGGTCTTGAAATCTTTTGATGGTCCCAATGGTGTGTCCCCTAATGCATATCAATGCTTGTAACATGACATCGACGGCTTTCTTCACGAAACGGCAACAACCACACAGAAGTAAGAGTAGCTACTTACCATGGACTGGACCTTGAGATAGGTATATAAACCTACAGTCTGTCTCTTTGCAAACTGAATCTTGCCTTTTAGAAACATGTTGGTAAATACCAGACAAAACCGCTGAAAGAGTAGAAGTGATGTCCTCTGGGAAGGGGAGATGGGGGAAGAATGGGTGGGCGGGGACTGCCGCTGTTTGTAGATGTTTACTTCGTGGAATGATTTGACTTTTACCTATTTCTCCTGGTATTTATCATCATTATCAACAAAAATGCTTATATTTCCATTTCTTTATTTTTTTCAGCTTTATGTAATATTTTATGGTTTCCTATTATTGGGAGGTGAGGATTTAGCTCCCTTACAGCCCTCCTCCCATCATCTCAATATATTTTGTTCTCTCAATACTGTATTTAGACTGTATACCGACTGTAAATATTATTCACAGCTGAGCCAGGTGGTCTACTTTTCTTTCGTTGTACAAGGTTGAGTATCCTGGAGTTAATAGCTACTATTTCTATTCTCAATCACTTATTCATGCCCTCTTGATATCTTCAAACACACCGGGTAATTGATCAGATTTGGTTTTGTTAGTGGTACCTTTCCTTCAGCCCTCCATCTTCCTGCTCTAACCCAGTAACTAGTAGTTAGTAATTAGTAGTTAGTAGTTAGTAGTTAGTAGTAGTTCTCCTCACCATGACCAGAAGACAAGGGGTGTGATTTCTTCTACTCCTCTCCTGTGTTGCATTTCTTGTTTCTTGAATCTCATGTCTTCCTTTTATTGGTTGAGTGGAGCACATCTTCCACCAGTCCCCTGAGAAAGGGCACAGAGGAGATAAATTTGTTGAGGCTTTCCACATGTGCATATCTATGATCACTTACACTTACAACCATCTGCAAGGTAGTAATTACACTTACTTATTGATAAATGTTTTAGAGGCTTAAAAAGATCTGCCCAAGCTCACATACCTATAATGAAGTAGAACTGAGAAAGAAATTGACAGAGTTGCATATACACACACACACACACACACACACAAACACACGATACAGAACTGGCTAGTACCACTTATCATTAATTCATTTTACTTTCACAGAAACAAATTTTAGAGAATTAATTTGAAGAGTATAAATTTTTCTCTCCATTTAACTTTTTTCCCTTTCTAGTTCTGCCTAGACCATTAATCCCTTACTCTTTTTGAATGATATTCCTAGATAAACATTTCATTTTCTGTAATTAGAATGTCAGCTTGAATACTAAAAGAAAATAATCAATGGAGAAATTTTGCAGATACAGCAAACTGAATTTGACTGTACTATATCCTATAAATGTTAGCTTGGACACTTAATATTTTTTTCATGGGGATAATATAAATAGCAATAGGACTACAAGGATTCATAACTAGTGAATAATTAGACAACTTATCTTAGAAATACCAACTACAGTTTTTATTAGAGAAAAAATCCTTCACGCCTCATTCTTTATTGAATTATTTGACTACAGAACTTGAAGTTTAGGCAATGACCTAGATGACCTTTAGTTCTCTCCTTTAGTTCTAATATGTTAAAATCACTTCACATAAAAACGAGGAACTAGCATAAAAAAAATGATACCAATATTTAATTTCTCCACAACTGTTATGAACTGAGTGTGTCCCCTCAAAATTCATATGTTGAAGCCCTAACCCACAATGGAATTTGGATAATTGGGTTTAGATGAGGTAACAGGGGTGGGGTCCCTCAGGTGGATGAGTGTCCTTTTACGAAGAGGAAGAGAGACTGGAGTACACTCTGTCACTCCACCAGGCAAGGACACTGAGAGAAGGCTGCTATTTACAAGCCAAGAATAGGGCTCTCACCAGGAACCCAATGGGCCAGCACATTGACTTTCCAGCCTCCAAAACTATGAGAAATAAATGTTTGCTGTTAAAACCTCCCCATCTATAGCATTTTGTTATAGCAGCCAAAGCATACTAATACAACAGTCCATTTATTAAAATTTGGGATATTTCAAGACCTAGAATATTATAATATGAGAAGGAACACTTTATATTTTAAAAGAACATTTTAAATATTAGTCTAAGATACATGTAATTTGGAGGGCTGTATAGTGAGTGTTTTTGCAAAATCAGAGCTCTAAGGTGGGAAACACTGCCACTACTGGCTGTGTGAATCTGAGCAAGTTTCTGCATCTGTGACATAGTATTAAATAAGGCACACTCTGCAGGGTACTGTAAGAGTGAAGAGACTAGTGTCCATCAGGGGCTTAGCATCATGCCCTGTATGTAATAAGAATTCAATATAGGTTAGATTGCTTTTTTGAATGACTTACATTTATTCTCTCTCTCTTTATCTCTATGTGTTGCCCAAACAAAGGCCCAAATCAAGAGCAGTTTCTGACTAAGATGTCTGTATCAGTCAGGGTCAAGTCATGAGACAAAAACCATAAAGTGTTTAGAAAAAGCAAAGTTTAATATAAAGAATTATTAACAGTAGAATAAAGTAACAGAATTAACTTGTGAGAAGTAAAGAGAACTGTAGAGGATACAAGGGTAGCAGATACAAGGAGCAGCCACCACCTCTGGGGTGAAATATCGTGTCCAAGGAAGGACCCTTCCCCACCCAGGTTGAAATTCAGGCTTCCCTGGAGGGGGCTGGCATGGTTCACTAGATGGCAGGAAGTCACAGAGGAAGTGTACTGGTAGAACTTGTCAGAGATCTTCCCTCTGGGTGTTAGAGAAGGCTGTCCATAGGGAATTATCAAGCCTCAGAAACTTGAGAGGTGCTGGGGATACCTGGTGACCACTGGGAGGCAGAGGAGGCTGCCCTCTTCAGGTGTCTAGTCCACTTCTGTATGTAGTTTGAACCAGGGCATTTCCAGGTCATTTGCAAGAAATTAAGGTCAGCTGCCTGGGCTGCTAGGTGACCAGACTTGCAGGATCCCGGGCATATGTATACACGAGGCTGGGCACAGTGATCTAGGCTGGAGCACCAGCTTGCACTGTCTGTAGCCCCTGGCTATGCCATTGATGCTTGAGTTGAAAGCTAGAAAGAGTGTGCTGCAGCCAGATATTGGAGAAAGGCACATGCTTCTGGAACTCAGCACAGGAGGGCAAGCAATGGAGAAGAAGCACTCTGTGCTGGAGCCTGGAAAGAGATCCACCCGGGAACCAAGAGGAGGAAACTCTTCTCCCCCTAAGACCCTCTATAGACAAGGCTTAATATCTTGCTAGGTGGCAAAGGGGAAATATTTGCAAAGTCCAATTCTGTTATCACAGAGCATGCAAAAAGGGTGAATGTGCAGCTGAGCTGTAATAACTTCAATAACCTGTACCAAGTCACAATCAGAAACACATATACAAGAAATCATCAAATCAGGACAACATTTACAGTATGCCTGGCACTGTGTGCTTTAGAGAGATCAAGAACATTAATCCTTAACAGGGTGATAAATGTGGCACGTACCATTCTAGGTGTCTGACATCCAAGAAAGAAATTTAAAATCTTGTCCTCTCAGAGAACTTAAAGAAGAAGCAAGAATATAATTCAAGAAACAATTAGAAACAAATAATAGACTGCCCAATGTTAAGTAGGGTTATACAGACTTTGCCAAGCAATTATAGAGGTGACAGATTTTATTTTACTGTTGTTTTTGTGTAGCTATGTCTTTTTAATCTTCCACAGACATATTCAAACTGCTTTCTATTTAAGTATTTATTAAATTCCATAATAAATTCTGTTTCTCTACAAGTTTTACTGATCACAAATATGCATTGTTTTAAAATAATACAAAATCATATCACAATATTCAAAATGCGCCAATTCTGAATTTCCCAAAAGCTAAAAAAAAAGCATTACTTTGTAGGTCAGCTAGAACTTTTTTTTTGGTTAAATAAATATTCTTGTCTTAACATTGTGACTTCTTATTTGTTGCCAATTTGTCACACTTGTTTTTCTTAATATTGCTCCTCTTAGGAAATGCATCTTGGGAGTTAAAAGAAAATGTTGGAATCCAGCAGAACTGGCTTAAATCCCAGCTCTTTCACTTTTTTTTTTTAACTTAAGTATAGTCAGTTACAATGTGTCAATTTCTGGTGTACAGCACAATGTCCCAGTCTTGCATATATATACATATATTCATTTTCATATTTTTTTCACTAAAGGTTATTACAAGATATTGAATATAGTTCCCTGTGCTACACAGGAGAAATTTGGTTTTTTATCTATTTTTATATATAGTGGTTAACATTTGCAAATCTCAAACTCCCAAATTTATCCCTTTCCATCCCCTTTCTCCCAGTAACCATAAGATTGTTTACTATGTCTGCAGGTCTATTTCTGTTTTGTAGATGAGTTCATTAGTGTCCTCTTTTTTCTTTTTTTTAGGTTCCTCATATGGTAATTTTCTTCCTTTTTCTGGCTTATTTCACTTATAATGATGATCCCCAGGGCCATCCATGTTGCTGCAAATGGCATTATTCTATTCCTTTTTATGGCTGTGTAGTATTTCATTGTATAAATATACCACAACTTCCATCCAGTCGTCTGTTGATGGACATTTAGGTTGCTTCCATGTCTTGGCTACTGTATATAGTGCTGCTATGAACACTGGGGCATATGGATCTTTTCAAATTAGAGTTCCCTCTGGATATATGCCAAGAAGTGGGACTGCTGGATCATACGGTAAGTCTATCTTAGTTTTTTGAGGAGTCTCCATACTGTTTTCCACCAGTTCTTTCACTTTTTAGCTCTGTGGGCTTGATAACTTAACGATCACTATCCCAAGTATTTCAGTTTCTTCACCTTTTCAAAGGGAATTATATGTAAAATAAAATTCATGTAAGGATTAAACAGTTGTATCACTTACATACAGACACACTTATGTATCTGTGATATTTAGCAGACTGCTGATACACTATAAATATTTGTTATCTTTTAGGGTTTAATTCGCATAAGAAAGGGGAGAACAAAAACGAATCAGTCTATTTTCTGCTTGATAAAATCTGTGATAGTGGAAGTAAAGGGAGGAAATTTTGAAACACATGGATAAACACAGTTTGGCCATCATCTATCAGTGGATATCAGTTTGATGCACAGTCTCTCTACTGACAGAGGCACAGAATTGGCCCTACCAACCAAAAAGTCTTAACAAATCAAGTTGTGAGTTTGAGGTGATGACAAGTCCATTTATTCATCTCTTTCTTTCTCCTAGGAATATGAATCCTTTGGTACCCTCAGGAAATGATATAACGTTAGAGTTAGATTAGATATTCTCTGTAGACTTGCTTCCTGGACATTAATATCCTGAGAGCACGCAGAGTATTTATATGTTCTGGCTTCTTCATTAAAGAGCCAAGACCAAATGGGACAGTCTATGTTGCTGAGATGGTATCATGATAAACTCACAGCCACCAGATGTTCTGTTTTCTGCTCTCTCCCACATGGAAGTAAGTGAAATTGTCTGCCAGCCCCTTGGAACCAATCTTCATCTTCTGTCCCATCCAAAATGCCAGCTTCATAAATTATCTGCTCCACCCCTTCTCTGCCCTCCAATCCCGTGACAACATCACATACCTCACACTCCACAAGATACCAGGAAACAAATGTTAACAAATTTCCAAGGGACAGCAGAACTCCTTGAAGGAAACAGAACTCACATGTTCTGCTTTCATTTTCCTTATTAATTAACTTAAAAACTGTACCTCATATAAAAACCAGAACCCACAGGAAGATATTGAGGCCCAAGATATATGAGGAGCTAGAAACTGAGCAAATATCTGTGTAGAACAACTTCAGATTTCAGCCACAAGTCCATTTTTTTTTCCCAATGGAAAGCTGGAAGAAGTTAAGAGGATCACAAAATTATTTTGAAAAATTATGGGAAATG